TCATTGCCCTCCTGATTTATTACATAAAACAGGCCAAATGCCTTCTTCAAAATCAAAGTCAATCTATACACAGACAGTACTACATCAAATAGCATGCATCAGCACACACATAGGCACACGCACACAAACATTTGTACACACACACACACACACACACACACACACACACACACAAAAGGAAAGAAACATTCCTGTGTTTAAGTCATTTTACTGCAAGCAGAAAACAACCTGCATGTGGGTTGACCTTAAATTAACCCACAGAAGCATTTGCATGTACAGTGGGTACAATACGAATGTTTCGCATAGTCAGCCAAGGTAAAACAGAATATGAGCTGCTCGAGATGCTTTGCACAATTAGATATGTGATAGGGAAAAAAATGTATAAAAGGCACATTCGCAGCATCTGCTTGGCTGCAGAATAAGCAGTTTCCTGCAAAAATAACAGTGACAAAATACAGAAACAGAAGCCAAACAAAAACAACTGCTGCACAGCAGAAACCTGCATGATGGCAAAAAAAAACAACAAAAAAAACCAAAAAAAACCTTATCTTATGCCAGAAAGAGCGTTTGATGAAACAAATAATGGAGCTCAAGTAATTTTATGGCACAAAAAACATCTTACACTGCAAAGCTGCTCCTTACAAACCATGCACAAGGAAACAATGCCTCAGTCAAAAAAGTCTTAATTCAAAACTGACTTAAAATGTGGAAATTAATCTCTATGAGTGGTATAGCAGCTAAACATCCAGATTTTCCCCAGCAACCAAATCCAAATGATCCTCACTTCTTCTTTAATGATGAATATCTCATTTAAATATAAGCTAGGATTAAATATTGTTTATGGTTTAGATAATGGGTGAAAAATTACAACTCTGAAAATGTAGTGATATGTATGTAAAATATAGTCATTCCTCTAAACCCTTGTCACATTACAAACACAAACTCCATGTTTTTTTATTTAGATTTGACAGACCAAAATAAACCAATGCATAACTAAAAAGTAGAATGAAAGTATATGATTTCAATTATTGTTAACAATACAAATGTGAGAAGAATAAATGAGTAATCAAAACCCAAGTCAATAATTCAGAAGTCACATTTGACTGGAATTGCAGCTGCATTTCTTTCAGAGACATTTTTGCATCTTCTAAGGAAAGTGGTACAAGTTGAGTCAGATTGGAAAAAAATAGTCTGTATCAAACTGTGCTACAATTGAAGTCTCAATTGAATTTAGTTCTGGGATTTTACTGGACCACTCTAACACCTAAATATGTTTTGCTCTCAACTCTTAAAGGGTCAATATTTAAGGCTGTTGCCCTGACGTAAGGTGAATATCTGTTGCAATCTCAAGTCTTTTGAAGAATTGAAGAGGTTTTCCTTCAGGATTGGCCTGAAAAGTGGTCCATCCATTTTTACATTAACTTTACCTACTTTTCTCTTTATCTTCTGAATAAAAGTATTCCCAAAGCATGATGCTGCCATCACCAATGTTTCATGGTGAGTATCGTGTCACCTGCGAAATGCATGTATTGTACTTAATGAAAAAAATTTAAAAATCTTATCTTTTGTTCCTTCCACTTTACCATTATGCATTCTACCAGGTCTAAATATTTTTTATAAAGTATATAGAATAAAAATGAAACTTAGGACCAGCTAGCTGCAATTTAGACAGACGAGGATTAAAGTTGATAATCTGGATGCCAAGGCTGCTGACAAGAGACATCTAAACAAGACAGCAATTGAAAGTTTACCCTTGAGAAGTGATCTGGGAAATGCAGCATAGTGGAGGTTGCTTTCATTTACATAAGAAATCACTCACAATCCTTCATTCTGACATATGCCAAGCATAAATGCAACAGGAGTAATGATGTTACAGTTATTGATTGCATTACATGAACTTCTATGCAATAGCCATCCGTTTGAGAAGAGAGGCTCTAGCTGTTCCAGAGTGAATTATGCTTGGCGAGGTAGGAAAAATGTTTTTAGTTCCAGCAGGCTGACAGCATCCAGAAATGAGCGGCATGATTCCCGGTGCATGTTGACGTAGTTCAACGTGAAGGGCTCCTTTTATTATGAAGCCTAGACTCTCTGCAAAGCTTCATTCAAGTCTAACCCACTCACTTCTGAGTAATTTCTTTCGGCAACTGATGAGACTCATCCTCTCTGAAAGAAATTAAAACCCTCCTGACCGAATGTAACTGCACATACAGAGAATTATAATGTTTTGTGAATCAGCAAAGAGTTTTTTGTTTGTTTTTATTTCTACAAAGAGTGAATTATAGAATCTTGTCAAAAGAATGAAAAGCTGTTCCCAAATTAATACTCTCTGAAGCTACCGCTTGTCCTTTAGATCACCTTATCTTTTCAGTACAGTCAAGTCATCTTTGTCAAGCCTTCAGAGATCAGAAATACACACACTCAACACACGACTCTACAACACACTCTCCCTCTCACTATTCACCCCTGTTAAAGGTCTCACTCACCTTTTTCACATGTGCAAGAGACATTCTGCCCATCCCGGCTCTCGGTGCATATTAATGTGTGTTCGCTGCATAGTCCAAATGAGCAAAGGTCAATATCCACAGAGCAATCTTTTCCTTTAAACCCTGGAAACATAGATATAGATAATTCATGTTAAGACGTCAGAATCAAGCCCAGGTAAAGAGAATTAATAAACATAAAAAAACATATAAACCAGCAGCTCATCTTCATAGTTGTATGGCTTTATATATTCTCAGCAGATTAATAGTATCGATTCCTTCCTTTTACAATCCACCTGCTATGCAGTATGGTAATTGAGTAAAATCATTGACAACAGCTCACCATATCAGACTGATCTACATCAAATTTATCTAGCATACAGGCTGCACGTCTGTATGTCACCAACTGATCCCAACGTCAATATCTAGAGTTATAAATAAAGCACAGAGACAGAATGATTGATCATTAATCTAACTTAAATAGACTACTTTGGCTTGTTTTACGTATTTGAATCTAAAATCGCAGTATAGAATCTTTACACAGACAGTACTACATCAATGTATATTGTGTTTTTATTCAAGCGAGTAAATTACCTGCAATTTTAAATAGTGACAAACCCAAATAATTTTGTTTTGGGATAAATTATACATTGGGTTCTATTATTATTGAATTGAATTTTAGCATGTAGTTTGTTCATGTTTTTGTTTTAGTTTTAAAATATCAAATTGTTTTAATTGTAGCTTTAAAGACAAATCAACATTGGATAAAATTGATATGAGCAGTTTCCAAAAGCAAAGATCCTAATTCAGACAAAATAAATAAATAAAAATCTGATTGATGAGCTCTAACTAAAATGAATGATTCTAACAGCTAAAGTCAACATAAATCTATACAAATCAGATGGAAGAAAACCTCATGAAGTACGTATGTGTAATGTTGGGTTCCCTAGCTGTCAAGAGACTTCATATGACTTCTTACATCCAGGACTTGAACAGCTCTAGTGTCAAGAAAAGGAAAAGGGCAGCTAACATCTCTGCAGACCCCACACATCTTGGACACACACTGTTTAGACCTTTACCTTCTCGGGGTGGTGCTACAGAGTGCAATTTGCAAAAATCAGCTGTCACTGTCTCGCTGATAAACACAATGAACACTTTACAGACAGAATAGTCAGCTACTCTGCTGTGAAACAAAATAAGAATATTTGCAATGCCACAACAATCTTTTTTTATTATTTCTTTATGTATAAAAGTGGCTGGAAATATGTACAATACATATTGTTCCCTTATTCTCAGTTTACTTCCTCTAAAGTTTGTGCATTATTACTTTTGCTTGCATGCTGTGAGTGCTTGAAAACTGGAGTCCATTTAGAAAGAAAACTGTTGCAATAAGTTATGGGTACATTTACCTTTAAGTTAGCTTAGTATTCACATTGGAACCCAAGTCCAGATGAGCTTACTATACATCATCACATCTATCTAGATGTTTGATGACCTTCCAGTTACCCTTTTCCCATTAGATTATGTGTTGCCTTGACTAGTTAATGGACAGCTATTGCCTCCAACAGGGTGTTTCAGAAGTGTTTAATAACCAATTGTGCATGCAATTCACTTTGAGGTTAATGTTGCATGAAGGAATGTCACTTTTACAGTGTCACCATCTCCAAATGGGACCTCCCTTCTCTATCAGACAGCTGCTAGTGGTTTAGTGCAACAGAGAAGGAGGTTCGAAATAAGAATTGCCCTTTTGACTTTTTCAGCAAATTCAGATTGCTGCCAGCTATTAAGTTTGATTCATTTAAATGGTTTAAAGGCCTGGTGTTATTTTGAAAGCTGGATTCAGGTCAGACTACTGATACTGCCAGACAAGCTTGTTTTTGAGACCATATCCTGCTAAAATATACTCATTGTTGATCATTTTACTTCTTACCTAAAGCATATTACCAAATTTGGCTGATACAACTACATACCGCCTTGTTAGCTAACTTGTTAAAGTAGCTAACTGTGTTAACTAAAATAATTAGTTCACACAAACAGAAAAAAACATGCTGCAGTGAGTCATTGCATTTAGCCATCTAGACAATCTGCTGAAATTCAAAGCAAGCGATAGACAGGGGAAGAAATGGAGTTTAACTAACTTTGAACATGGAAGGTGCTTAGTGTCACCTGGGCTGGTGTTAAGTTTTAAAAAATATCCTGATCCTTTTTCAAGTTTACAGGGAATGGTCTAACAGAGAGAGAGAAAAAAAATCTACAGTTTTAAGAACAACAGCACCTCATTGATGTGAGATGCCAGAAGAAAATGGTCAGAATGATTCCAAATTATAGTAAGAAAACAGCAGCTTCAATTAACCACCATTTACAACCACGGTATGTAGAATATCATCTCTGAATGTGCAAGATCTTTATTATATGACTTGTGCTTTTGTCAAAAATAATGTCCATCAACTACTAACAAACAAGTCTCCCAATTAATACACTGGTGGAAGAAGAATTTACATTTTTGACACTAAAGTACATATTAAGAAATTGAGATGGACAATCCTTGTTGAACTCATGTGGAAAATGTGTTGGTGTCTGATAAAGTTGCAAAGGAAATGATTAAAAGAGAAAAAAAAATAATTAGTGAAAAAAAAAGATGAAAATACATAAATAGCTAAAAAACGAAAAAAAAATTGTTGTTTTTTTTTGTCCGTCTCCCTCTGTGTATGTTTTGCAGGGAGAAGCGTGTAAACCTGGCAGAGCATTTATCTAATTGGATTTCTGAAAAGGACAAAGGAGATCAAAAACACCTGTTTATAAATCTGTCACTGAAATTAAAACAGTAATGGGAGCTTTGCTCACACATCGGTGTTCTGTTTCTGCCAAAATCTAATTTAAACAAGAGGCAGAAAATACTGAAAGTAGATTATTTACTGGGGACCTGAGATGCATTTTACGTTTTCTAAAAACTAAAAAAGAAAGAAAAAAAAATCTGCGTAGCAGGAGCTGCATACTGTAAGAACATTATTTATCGATAATCAAAAAAAGACAGAAAAAAAACTAAATATAAACTTAGTCTAGTTAATAATACAATATACAAAAATAAATAAATAAATAAATAACAGATAAAATAAAATAAAAAATCTTTAAAATCTTGAAACTATCACATCCCAGAATAAACAGGGGTTCTCAGATCATTGTTTCTGAATTCTGTGTGTGGCTGTTTGCAACTTACTGTGACATCACATATACAGCAGGAAATGGATGGGCCATTGCAGCATGACATGTTCAATTCAGTAGGCATCAAATATATTATTACGATAAGTTAAAATAAAACCAGATGCACACAAAGAAAAGAAACACCTCCCTTTGTCATAGCCCATATATATAGACCCTGTCTGGAGTCGGTGTTTTAAACAAACGGTAAACACAGACATTGATTTTCACCTTTATTCTAAAAGAGTTTTTCTTTCTATCTGCAATCTGTAATAAAGATTTATTGCTTCTATTTTCCTTACTTGGAGCTCTACTAAAAGCTTGCATTCAAACTGAAAAGACCAGACTAAACGATCCATTGTTTCTTTGCTATATTTGGAAGTGCATTCTTGACAAAACGCGAAACACTATCAAAGAAAACAAACAATTTGTAACAGGAATAAACCTTTCATGTATTCCCGAGGTACAGTCACTGATAATTAATAGCGGAGTATTTTTGTAAACATCCTCAATAATGCACAAGTGTGTGCTACTTACCAAGAGGACAGTGACAAATGTAGTCATTTATCAGATCCACACATGAGCCTCCATTTAGACAAGGCTGCGACCAACAATCATTTACATTCTGAGAGCACGTCCTTCCTACAGAATAAAGGCAGATAAATTAATAAGCTCTAGTTGATGATCAAGGAAACACAGCTAAAAGGTGTTGCAGAGGAACTTATTTCCCTGTTGCTGCTTTGAAAATTAAATGATAGTTGTTCTGTTTCCATAACCACAAAATTCAGAAAACCTGCAAGAAAAAACAATTCTCATTTCACCCACAGAATGAAATGAACTTGAACAGCTGATCAACTCTGATTGCACTGAACTGAAATCTAGTTAAATGATTATGTATTCATTATGCTGAAGCGTATGCATGTATGTATGCATAAGTGGTGGAACCTCAGTTTTAGCATCCTCGAGGCAAACGTTTGATATGGAATAGATGAATGATTTCACTAACAAAATTTAAAGCTCCACCAGCTTTGGCCTCTAGCAGTATTTCAGAACTCTTGGTTCTCTTTCAGCCATGGGGCGTCGCTTTTCTGTCTGCAATCTTAACTGGAGCAAAGGTGGCATTTTTGCCAATATGACCCTTTATATTGGATAAAAATACATGGAACTAACCTAGGGCCTACTATTAGCCACATTCAATGGAAATCCTGATAAACATGCGCACAGAGTATTAAAACACATTAAATGTTATTGCAGCTGCATAATCTCACATTTAAAAAAAATCTGAAAAATCCAAGTATGCAGGGTCATAGTGGCAAAAATGCCAATACCCTTGGGTGAATTTATTCAAAAGTTCAATGTTAAGAAGTACATTTTCCCTAGTTAACAAAAGCATTTTTTCTGACATGCATTTTTTAAAATGTTGATCAGCCAATATGCAAAGTAATTAAGACAGTAATGGAGTCAATATAAATCTGCAAAGCTCTGCAGCAATGAGTGGCCCCTAGGGTAGTCATGCAACCAAATCTCCATAACAATCATTAGACTGTATTTACATGCCAACTGGTTATTTGGAAGAGTCTCATCTGTGTAGCTTTTCTAAATGTAAACATGTGGGTTTTACTACAGCTGGACTTTAACAGAAACTATCGGCTTTCAGATGAGAACAAAGCCTTATTTATATCTCCCAGTCAGATCTGCTGTCCGCTCAACCACAAAGCCTGTGTGACGTAAATTTCACCAACTGTGTCGACGCTCTAGGGTCCGCTAGGGGTCTCTGTGGACATGCTGCCCAGATTTTTGTGCAAATGTTGGCACTGCGCCCCGGCAGGGACATTAGTAGTTCCAGTCCGAACACACAGCAGATAAAGAAAGCGACAGGTCAGATCATGAGGAGAAGTAGGATAAACAAAAGCAAAGCTTGTTTTAAAGAAACAGAATGAGGGGGGGGAGAGCTGCATTTTTCTCATTGTGGGTTTATTTCTAGGACAACTGGAATACAAAAACTGGTGAGAAATCAATTTCTTCTTTCTTTTTGTTTTTTTCCCCTCCTCTTCATCTCTGAGACGAATCAGAATAAAGCATCGCATTATCGCCCCACAAGATGCCACCAAGATCCAAGAGATTAACATACCAAAAAGGGATAAATCTGTCAAGCCCTTTGGACTGTTTGGCAATAAAGCCATTTGGCAAGAAACATTCCTCTTGGGATTAATATCACAAAATATGATATATGGAAAACTACTTCATGTGTACTGTTAATTATATTGGCTCTGTTTCTCTTCCAATATCACTGGGAACCATGGTATTATAACCTCTCTGAAAATAAATAAATAAATAAAAAAAGATTTTGAATAAAGCATGTAGTGCATTCTCCCAGTAAGCTGATCATGGGTCACCTTTGGGTCTTTCAGTAAGCTAATTATCCAAAATATATGCAAAAACAACAGAAAGGGTTCAGCAGACACAACATTTGCCATCTTCCATTGCAATTTCAGTCCCCAAGCTTAGATTCCAATGAACAAGCTTGAAGAAAACTAAAGTGAAGGCCAATGACTCAGGATGATCTATAGGAGAATCGATGATGAATTATTAAAGATCTACGTATTCTTCAACTTTTGGAAATGCTATTGAATGGGAATAAGTGCTGTCCTTTTAGCAAATGGGCCTTCTTTTATTCCTCCTTTGTCAGGAGGGACAAATGCAATTAATTATTAAAGACTTTTACATCACAAAATAAATGTATTCATATTAAAAAGAAATATTATGGGAATACAAAAAAATAATAATAAAAAAAAAGAGTCAGTAAACAATAGGAAACTAGGATTATTAAAGAAGAAATTGTAAGGTCAGGTCAAATACCAAAATTCCCAAATTTAATTAGTTAAATTCTTTACTTATTACTTGTATATATGGGATTGCATTTAGAAATACATTTAGCATATTTTACACTGGTGAATTTCGCCAAATACTTAACATTTGTTTTAAAAGTTTAGTTTTTAACAACGAAGGCTACACTACAAAGCCCGACCCTTCAGCTAGCAGCTGTATTAATAGCTGCAAAATGGGCTCAGATTCATATCAGATGGTCTCATACCCTCAAACCCCGGGGGACAGTGGCACCGATAATCACTGATTAGGTCCACACAGGTGGCGCCGTTAGAGCAGGGGAAACTGTTGCACTCATTTGCTTCCACATCACACAGCGGCCCCTCATATCCCAGCATGCATCGGCAGGTGAAGTTATACCGCTGGTCCAGGCAAACACCATGTTCAGAGCAGCGACTGTCGACACAGTAATCAATGTCCTGCTCACAGTAGACCCCTGTGTATCCACTGGGACAAAGGCAGCTGGAAACAGATTAAAGAGAATTTCTTAATAGCAGAGTGAGTTAGAAGATTTCTCTCAACCCTAAAGGGAGCGCAGTAAATGTCACAGCTTTTAAAATCATTGACATTCTGGTGCCAGAATGGCCCGGAGACAATCAAGACTCGGAAACCTACCTGTAACCATCAATCTCGTCCACACAAGTGGCTCCATTTTGACACCAGTGTTGGACACAATCGTTGACATTTATGCGGCAGTTCTGACCAGACCAACCATGTGCACAGATGCACATGTAGCTGCTGGCATTATTCAGCACACAGCGGCCTCCATGGGCACACGGCTGTTGATAAAAGATGAATTAGTCAAGCACATGTGTCATTAAATCATAGATGGAAATGAAAGCTTTCTTCTTTTTTTTTTTTTTACATTAATGTCACAGATTGAACTGAGCTCATTCTGGTCAGAATCATAGCTATTTTTCACAAAGAAAAACCTAATCATTTCTTGCTCCTGGCTCAGTGAAAATGAGCTTCATTACAGCCACATGACACACTCATGAATACTGATTCCCGCTTTATATAGGGCTTCACTCTGTATTCCAGGTGGCATCTACATCATGTCCTACAAGACAAGATCAATGGTCATTGAGAGCTAAAGCTCCTGAGAGCTCCTTGTAACAAAGCAGACTTGAGGTTAGGAGCTGCATTTATGGACAGGGGAAACAAAGGGGCAAAGGAAGAAGTGCCTTATGGGACACGGTTTTAATACAGTCATCATGGCCTATAATGTACAAGAGCCAAGGCAAGCCTTGCTCCACAGCAGGTGACCATCCCCATCTGTCATTTGGAGTAGTTCATCTGCTCAAGTGAGACTTTTTATTGATGCAAATGATCAGTTCAGTTACTAACACACGACAAAGCATCACATGCAAAAATGCAGATACTGTCAATATTATACGGCACTCATTCAAATAAAGTAATAGAGAGTAGTCCTGTACAGCTCCATCCATTATACAAAGAAAATGTAAACATCCTGGCAATTACACAAGTCAAGCTTTGACTTTTTTAAAGATTGTCTAAAAAAAATTACCATCATTTCGATCTTAAAATAAAATTTCAAGAAATTTTAAGATAAAAAAAAAACTATCAAAGTTACATGTGTTTTAAGACTCAGTTTTAGTCAGTGGAATATAAAGACATTTCCTAATTATTTAGTTATGAAATGAAATGTTTATCCTTTGTCAAAAGACTCAATGAATAATTACAGTAGCAGTTAACTGCAGAATGTGTTGATATTCCTAAGACATTTAGATAATAACAGATTTTAATATTTTTTTGTACAGAAATTTCATGGTGTCTCATTGTTTTTTAAAAAAAAAAAGTATATTAAATCTGTATGATTGGAATCGTACACATAAATGTACAAAATGTGACGTAAAGTATATTTAAAAAAAAAAAGTTCTGATTTTACTTTCTTCAGTTGATCAGAATCACGTACATATATTTGTGGACTAATGTAAAATGTAATAATAAAAATTATTGGAAAATCATAAGAAATCAGGCAGTAAAATTGTGGCCCTCCACAAGCCTGTTTCATTGCTGGAACAGGCAAGGATCCAGAGATCCTTGCAGGTGGAAGGTTCATCTGTTCTTATAAATATTAGATACAAGTATAAACAGAATATAAATGTCCAGCCATAGATCTAATTTAGAAAAAGAGATATGTGCTGTGTCCCAAAGATGACAAGTCTTGGTCCAAAATATTGAGACTAGTTCAACTCCCAAACAGAAGAAGAAAAAAAAAAAAGAAAAGATACGCACTGACGCTAGTAATAATGGTATTGAAAGTGAAAGAAAGGCCTGTATCAACATGGGCTGAAACGCCACTGAGCAGACATTACTCCAAAAGAAACATTAAAAAACAGATTACAGTTTGCAAATGCCCTAATGGAAAAACTTTAATATTTAGTGACATGTCCTGTGGTTTGCTAAAACCAAAACAGAAGTGACCATAATGAACATTGTTGGAGAAAAGAGGGATAGCACCATCCCAGCTGTAAAACACATGAAGGACTGAAATTCACAAAAGAGACGGCATCATGTGGAGATAACATTATGTGAAGATATCGAAATAACATCTTGAGCCTTCAGCCAGGAAGGCACAGCTTTGTCAAAAAATATATTTTAAACACATATTGGGTAGAAGCAAGAAGTTTGCTTTAGGAGTTAAAGATTCATAATTAGGGTTTGATGTCCATCAAAAAGCCGTGATCACAATCCTAAAGATAATTTGTGCCTATAGCTGAAGAGGCACATAATGAGCATACTGGCCTACAAACCTGACTGCTACAGCAGCTCTGTCAAAGAGAATGGGGCAAAATTCCAGCAAACTATTGCACACAAGTGAATATAGATTATCTTGCTCATGATTGCTTTTAGTAAATAGAAATAATTTTGGTAAGCCAGACTGACAAAAAACTGTACCTACCTGAAGATTTGTAGGGCAGGGTATACGGCAGGTGTATTCAAGGCCATAAGGGAGGTCCAAACACTGAGTTCTTGATTGACACGCAGTGTCTGGTAGAGAACAGGCGTCTATATCAAGTTCGCAATTTTTTCCCTGAAAACCTGCAAGACAAAGATAAAAAAAAAAACATGAAATTTTTATGTATGCAATACTTTGCAAGCAAAAATAGATCTGAAATCAGTACCACTAACCCATCTTTAATTCATGTTGATGCACCAGACCTACTCTTCTATATATTTAATAAACATGGCCAAAACTGGTGCAACTGAGGAGGATTGGCCCCATTTTAAAGCATCTCCCTCCACTCAACCACAGTGCCCCACTGAATTTGTAACTTGCCTTCAATTTATCTTGCAATTAAATATTGAAACACTAGTGTTGAGCCTTTTATTTCTTGTTCAACTTCATCCTTTTTTCTTATTAGTCTTATATGTATTTAAAATAAAACTAGATTTATTTATTTTTTATTCTTGCGTAAAAATAACTACACAAAAGATGGTACATAACAATAAGTCCTGGGCTCAGGTTGTCTTGCTGCATGACCTACTTTTTCTTAAGTTTCCCTTTACAAACAGATGTCCTGACATTTTCCTTCAGAATTTGGTGTTTTCATTCATAATTCATTGTCCTATTAATTATGGAAACCCACCCTGGCCCAAATGCAACAAAAATAATCTTAAACCATGGCATTATTGCCACCATGTTACAAAGACAAGTGAAGTTTTCAATGCCCTATTTGGAGCATTTTGAAGCTTCTCTTTTTAAAAATATTCTTTGATTGTACCTCAAGAACCTTTATTGTGACTAATACTTTGATAATTCTTCAGTTTTTAATCGGAAAGTTGTTTTATTTCAGTATTTCAGTAGTGAAAGTAATAGATTAATGTATTACAAGCTGCTGTGCCTGTTAATTTTGATGATTATGGCTTAAAGTAAATGAAAACCCAAGTCAACTCTTAGAGAAGTACAAGATTATAAAGGAGAAATAGAAAAAGAGTTTTAAATCAAAACTATTATTACACACGACTTTGTTCTTCTACATAGCGCAAGGCAATTTGCAGAGATCAAGGAATGTTTAGGCTTTTATATCCAACTGAGATTGTGGAACCAAAGGGGATAGTTTAAATAAAGGTAAAGTTGTGTCCCATGCAGAACATGTTATCATAATCAGATTCTGCTGATTAATGTATTTCTTGGAGGATCTTATGATGTTGCCTCATCTCCACTCCATATCCTATTAGTTTCCATTACTCTTTACTGTTCATGGGTGTTCCAGGTTTTTTACTAATTCCTAAAATAGAGAGTCTATCTCACCATCCCACTCTATTTCAGGATTTTTCTGTTAATGTATATCTCATCTTGTGATTAACACATGGAGATCATGAAAGTAAGGATGATGAATAATCTGAAAGTGGCTGATGCTCTTCAAAGAGATTAGTTAAGATTCACACAATCTTGGCCGCTGCTAGAATCAGCTAATCAATAGCCACCACACAAAACCATATCATACATATTTCTGCATTAAAATCTCTGTTGATTTTATATAACATTCAAATGTCCTGAGAAACTTAACTTGGACGTTATTTTGCTCTGAGCCATGATCATTAAATCATCAGAAATAACTAGTTGAAATACATTTCCCTGCGCATAATGAGAATAACTGTGGAATATATGCCTTTTTAAAATTGCTGAAATGAATTATGTTTTCAGCTATATTCAACTTTATTGTGATAAACTTGCATGCGACAGTTTTCACTTAAGCAATAAAATGCCCTATAATGAATGCAGAGCAAGCCAACATTGTGTTTTAGATGAGTAAATAGCAGGTATACTGGGGCTTTTTCAGCTTAACAGTACATTCAGCAGCAAAGCACATTATGATTCCACCCATGCTTTGTGACATTTCCTTGTGCTGCCATACAGAGCTGCACTCAAAAAGAACTACTTTTAAATTACACAGTTGAGTCCAATATAAGACACTGCAGATGAGGCATAGAAGCAACAGCTTAGGTTTTCAAAGATAACAGATGAGATTTAGTAGCAACTCTGGAAGACCGAGGCGTACACTGTGGCATTTTCTTACCATGAATCTGTGGCCGCGTATAGTTCCAGTTTGCTCAGGGAGTTAAGGATTCATGATCAGGGATTACAGAAGGCAGTTTCAGAAGGAGCTCAAAGAAAAAAACCCCAGGCTCCAGATACACCAAGAAAGGGAACAGCTTGTGTGAATATCTACTGCAAATGTAAGCATTAAGTTCAGTATTTAAAAAAATCACAAGCATATTCTAAGACATATACAGTGGGGAAATAAGTATTTAATACACCATTTTTTTTTCTTCTAGCTCCCTCACAAAGAACGAAAATATGTACTTTTGATCATAGGTACACCTCAACTATGAGGAAAAAAAAATCCAAAAGAATTACTTTGTATGATTTTTAAATAATTCACTTCAATTTTATTCCATAAAATAAGAATTTCACCTCCTACCAATCAGCAAGCATTTTGGCTCTCACAGAGCTGTCAGTTTGTCTTTAAGCAGTCCTCCTCTTCTTCACTCATTATCTGTATTAATTGCACCTGTTTATGCCTGTATGAAAGACATGTGCACACATTCAATCAATGACATTCAAACATTGGTAAGAACTATCTCAGAATACCAATCGTGGACCTGCACAAGGCTGCTTATGGACTACAGGGACAACATGCAAACAGGTTGGTGAAAAGGCAACAACTGTTTGTTAAATTATTAGAAAATGGAAGAAACTCAAGATGTCCTTCAGTCTCCCTTGGACTTGGTGCTGCCTGAAAGATCTCACCTCACATATTATCAATGATCATGAGAAAGATGAGGGGTCAGTCTGGAACTAAATGTGTGGACCTAGTCAAAAACCTGAAGAGAGATGGTTCCACGGGTTCAAAGGTTACCATTAATGACTTCGCTGTCATGAATTAAAATCCTGGAGCACATGCAAGGTCTTCCTGCTCATGCCAGCATATGTCCAGACTCTCCCGAGGTTTGCCATTGACCATCCAGATTTTTTTTTTTTTTGTCTTTTTTCTTTCAGAGTCCATCTTACAGTTGAGGTGTACAATGAAAATTACATACCTCCCCATTCTTTGTAAGTGGAGAAACTTAAATCACTGCTTTATCAATTCATTTCCCCACTATCTATGTATGTATGCACATATTCATGCATGTATGCATGTATCCACACACAGACACACACATGTGGTATATTATCCAGTACGGTCCTGATCGAAGGCGTGAGCAGGTGAAGTGGGGGCTGGGAATACAAAAAGCTGCTTGGCCTTCTGGTGTCTTGTGGGTCTGATTCAACTTGACATCTGTGATGGGAGGATCTCCCTCAAAAACCCAAATGAAAAAACCCAAAAGCCCCCCTTGATCGTCGGAGCCAGGTTTCCACAGAGATGCTCCCTCACAAAGAACAAGTCAAAGTCACAGAAAACTGGATATTTTAAAAGCACAATAACACAAACATCTATAGCTTAATTTTACTTGCTGACCAGATAAAGTATTGGGGGGGGGGGGGGGGGTAAATAACAAAAAAATTATTTTTTTTTAAAATATTATTTTTTAAAATTAACTTTCAATGACTGTATAGACGATTAACTGCTAGTCAAGCAGGTTTGGCCTCGAACCAGCTTGCTATGAAAATAGTTTGCCAGGTTTATTTGTGTCAGCAAAGTTATCCTCCTGAAACCTGTGTGAAAAAAAAAATTCAGACATGCCATGTAAGTGAACTGGAAACTCTAAAGTCCCTGGAGCTATGACTTTGTTTTTTCTTACTGTGTGTAAGTGCTGACATCGTCTTGTCCAAGCTGTGTCGTTTAACTCGGCACATCCTTATATAAGTTTACCCATGTGAAACAGATATGCTGTTGTTCTGATTGCATTGGACAACCAGGGCAAAATGTGGTGTTATCTCCGTATGCTTATCATTGCACTGTCAGAAATTGAAAAACCCAATTCCATAAGCATATTTGTTGTTAATGTGAACAGAATTGGACTACAATGATAAGTCCTCGTGCAGCTCTCAAAAACCTTGAACCACATAAACCATCAAGTACACTTCAAGCTACCATAAGCAGTCTTTCAAACTAAATAGAACTGCGGGCGCTGCAAGGGCAGCTCATGGGTTTATGAAAATGCACCACTACTTCTGAATGCTCCCTTCATTTGTTGTAATAGTACAGCAAATAAACAATTAACAAAATGTGACAAAGTTGCTTTCAAAATAAGGGAAATCCAATTATACTAATCAGATCAATCACTGTTTAGATTAGAAATTCTGTTTTTATGTGGCAAAAAGCACATTACTTTACCACAATGATGAATTGTTGTTGTTGTAGGGAATTAATAGAAACCCAACCGAGCTAATAGTCATGAATGAACCTGTGTAACTGAATCACTGAAAAAAGATGCTTTAAAAGCAGGGTGGAGTTCAGTTGATGGGGTCACTCATTCTGTGAAAAAAGCAGGTATTAAATAGGTGCCTCTTATTTGCGGACAAAGACAGTTAATGTTCCCCTCATAAAATCTGAATAAAATGAGTTGTTCCAGAGCCATTTCAACAAGTGGAGAAAATGATACACTGTCCTGCTTAAATGCTTCAAAATGGAAACATAAGAAATATGAGGGGAAAAAATGGAAAACTATCATTTCAGTGGAACAAAGAATACTAAATATGGCAGAAATTAGCAAATGATCAGAAGGGTTACTATTTTGTGTTAGTACAGTAACAACTGGAAGATTTCACTGAAAAATATTGCCAGAAAAGGTTGCCAAAAAACACGTCGACTGACCAAAAGAAAAATGGTGTAATATTTTAAGGACTGGCGAAAGTAAAGTTGTTATTTTTCAACATTTATTGTGAAGAATGGTGGCTTGATATTATGCTACGGGGATGTTTTTCATAATAAATTATGCCAATTTATCTCATACAAGCGATCATTGATGAGTTTGTATGCAAGAGAATACTTGAAAAGGTCACAGTATGCCATGCATAATAGGGAAATATATTGTTTTCCTTCACTTCCTGTTCAGTAATAACACATTTGTAACATTTTTATTTCAGTTTTCATTTGGATTTAAATGTGCAATGTACCCGATGAACTGCGTACATGGAGACTTTTATCTATCTGCACGCTTTTAATGACCATTTTGCAGCACCAGCGGCTTTTTAAATAGGAAATGAGAAAGAAGAAAAGAAGGAAAGACCTGGAGGGAAGGTTCTGAATTAAAGTTTAGCCAGCTGTATAAAGGACACATATCTTCTCCTGATCTATCACTAAATGCCATCCCATTACTCACTTTTTTTCCCAACACACTGCTATCATTTTACTCACAAATCCATGACATCCACATTGAATTTTTTTTGTTTAACTTCACAAGTGTGAGCACAGTTTTACTACCATCAATGTTTAGTTTTTTTGTTTTTTTTGTTGCCCCGCAAACCAAGATGAAAAACAAAATAAAAGTAGGAAACTCTTGAAGATCTTCTGGGTTTTTGCTTTATATGTAAAGTAACGTTCCAACTCATTGGGCAAGGGCAGTTTTCTGACTTACTGCTCACTGGTGCCTAAAATCTTCTGCATGCCTTCCATCTGCTTATATTTAGGGAAAGAAAAATGAGACTCAGCCAAGGAATTAAAAAAGGAGGTAAAATCCAATTATCCTGAAAGGAACACAGTGCCTTGCAGAGGTATTAATAGCCTTTAACTTTTTCACATTTTTTGTTATATTACATAATAAAATACATGCACAAAGTAGCGATTGATTGAAAAGTAGTAAATTATACTTTTTTTAATTAGGGTTTGTAGATCTAACATTTCTGGAAGAGTAGAGAGAAGCTATTGCTAAAAAGAGTTTGTAGGAAATCTGGCATATGGGTTTGTTTCTTAACCCTGGTCCTCTGTGCCGACTATCCCACATGTTTTAGGTGGTTTCCATTGGGCCCTGAGGACCAGCGTGGAAAAGCAATGATGTAGGGGACACAGCAAACACCTAGAGGAAGTTCTGGTTAGATAAGACCAAAATTTTACTTTCCATCTTGAGTGCAAAAAAACTGATAAAAAGCAAATGCATCACCTTGATGAAACCAGAACCATCCCTTTGCTGACCCACAGTGCAGCATGATGCTGTTGGAGGGATTTTTATTTTTATTTTTTTGCAGGGAAATAAACCTGTTAAGAGTTTATAAGAATATGGATGCTAAATACGGGCTAATACGTGACAAAAAATTTTAGAGGCTTCAAAAATTACTGACATTTTGCTGATGATTTATGTCCCTTGGGATAATGCCTCCACACATACAGCCCAAGAAATACTGACATTACAATCAAAGTATATTCAAATGGCCCAGTCAGCTAAAACATGAATCCAGTTTTGAATCTGTGATCAAACTTAGCGTATACAAATGCTTTCCATCCAATGCTACTCAACAAGGAAGACTGAGTAAAAATGTAAGTTTCTAGATGTGCATAGCTTGTAGCAAACATCCCAAAAGATGTGAAGCTATAGCTGCAGCACAATATTTTAAAGTAGTAACTATGGGGGTACAGCACACATTAATCTTTTTAGTTGTTAAAATTATAAAATTATATCCAGTCAAAAAAAAAAAAAAAAAAACAGAACAACTTGTTGGACTAAATAGGATGCAAGTAAGTGTAAAGACTAATATGAATTAAATTGAACTCTGTGCACACTTAGGACTCTGCTGGCAAAAACAAATCACCTCTGGTTCTCAATCTATAGTGAGATAGCCAGAAGGGCCCTGGATGAGGATCTTAGCCCAAATTAACAGCAGACGTGTTTAAATACTACTGCTGCCACGGCTAATATAATCTGAATGTTACTGCAACACTCCCAATGTGAAGATAGCTCGGCATACCTGTAGGGCATTGACATGTATAGTCTCCAAGCAAATCAGAACATGTGCCATTGTGCTGACATGGGTTGGAATCACACTCGTTGATCTCGGTCTCGCACGCTGCTCCTGGGAAGAGAGATTCAAACATTATGCTCACCGCTGCAATAATATTTTATCACTGTATTTACACAAAGCAGAACTACTTGTCCTCATACTGCCTAAAAATAATTTTTAAAAAATCAGCTCCAGGAACATTATTCACCTATACTCAGGAACAAAAACTGAATTATTGCAGTAATAAAAGATTAATTCTGGAATAAATGATTGAGTAAAAAAGATTGATTGTCATAATGCTTAAATTTAATTTGTCCTCGCATGGCATTTGGCCCAAAAGTAAGAATAAACTGCAAGTCTGTTTTAATAGTTTACTGCAACTAAAAGCCAAAATATGCAAGCCAGCATTACTGTCTAATCATTTTGGCAGACACAAACAAATGTGGGTGGCAAATTAATTTATTTTAACCTATGTAAAAAAAAAAAAAAAAAACTGTGCACTAGTTTTATCAAAACGTTCCAGAACAATCCTTATCATGATTATTAGGCTTAAAACTCTATTTTGTGCAACGTGATTGAAGTTGTAATGCTATATCTCCATGCTATAACTTAGGACATTCTGAGCAACCCAAATATGCTGGGGATGCAGACTGCTTAGTCTGCATAAACTACTGCAGCATAAAACTATCTGAATTTATGAAAGTCAATATTTTTTTTTTGGTAAAAACAATATAATATAATATTACATTATATTATATTGTTATATTATATATATTATATTATAATATAAAAAATGGTGCATAAACATTGGTCTTGTGTTGGATTGTCACATCCATTCAAGAACAATTTTTTAAGAAAGAAAAAGAAAATCACTAGGTCCCAATCTAGTTTGAGATGAACGCCAACTAGATTGATGATCAGTTTGCCAAGTGAAACGTACTACGGATCTACATGGTGTAGTAGACGTATTTACGGCATGAAATTAGCAAGTTTTTTTTGTTTTTTTTTACCGAGCGGTATCATCATGAATGATATGGTACGGCCCAGTCCTAGTTGTTATTCACGCAGCCTGGGGTTGATGACACAAGTGCTCCAGTCCATATGTCCTTGTGTCAAATGTTATAACTAAAACACACTTAACTGCATGAGTACAATTCACCAAGAAACTGTGGGAATTGACTAAAAGTGGCTTGTCAATTAGAAAAAGTAAATATAAAAAGTAATATATCAGCACATACTTGATAGACACAACTATCAAGGATATCTATCAGGATATCATGCAGATTGCTGAGGCATAATTATTTAATAGGTAAAAAAAGAAGATATTTTCTTTATAGCAATTATGGAAAAAATACAAAGTGAAATTAATGTGTTCATGTATTGCAAAAAGCAAAGCCATTTAAACTGACTGAGGTAGAGCAATACATCCTAAGACATGCTTAGTGATGAAGTTCATAAGGGTGGTGAGAGCGAAGGGTTAAGTTAAATGGGCCTTTCTACGCTGCACGGCTTGAAATACCAAACCTGAGATCCCAAGATGCCAGAAAATGATGAATTCTATCAGTCACTAAGAAAGTGCCATGGTGCAGGAGACAATTTTCCATTACAGAAGTGGCAACAGATTCCAGCTTTGAACAGAGAAGATAAAAAGCGTTGTTCATGTAGTGCTATGTAAGGGCTTATGTGATTGACAGCCGAGTGTGTCAGGGCTTACAGTTAGATTGTGAAGCACACTACTAGCCAAAGGCTGAGAGCACTGTATGGATGGGGG